AACAATAATAAACTGAAAATTAAAGAAATAAACACTCAAAATACTTTCCACTGGAAACACATTATGATGGTAGAGGGTTTTGTTTACTATCTTACTGCAATTTTCTTACATGTTACTAGCCCACCTACCCTATGTTTCTCATAAACACGCAGATGTGAATGGAAGTTTTTATGATGAAATAAATGAAAAGTTTGTTTACTGCAGAGAATCATTTCACAAGGCAGCCAAACTGGGTTCAGAGAACAAAATTATTCAAGAAATTCTTTTTTTTTTTTTTTCAACGTTTATTTATTTTTTGGGACAGAGAGAGACAGAGCATGAACGGGGGAGGGGCAGAGAGAGAGGGAGACAGAATCGGAAACAGGCTCCAGGCTCCGAGCCATCAGCCCAGAGCCTGACGCAGGGCTCGAACTCACGGACCGCGAGATCGTGACCTGGCTGAAGTCGGACGCTTAACCGACTGCGCCACCCAGGCGCCCCAAGAAATTCTTAACTTTAGAATCAGTGAACCTTAAGCTGTTTCCCTGTGACACCGCCAGCCTCCAAGAGAAACTGACAAATGCTTTTTCTTTCGTCACCTTAAAGCAGAATAACTTCTCCGTATTCGGGATGTTCAGTCACAGTATCATCAACAGGCAAAGGGTCTGAGCCTTGAGCCTGATGCCCCTGAGGCCACCAACCTCTACACTTCTTCCACTTTGGGGGAGTCACACTTTGGTCCAACTGCTGTGAAAGCCTCCCACCTGATAAAGAAAATTTCAACTCTTCATGCTGTGGGCTCTGCTCCTGGGCTCTCAGGGAAGTTATATTTTTTTTGTTAATTTACTTATATTCAAGTTAGTTAACATATAGTGTAATAATGGTTTCAGGAGTAGAATTCAGTGATTCCTCACTTGCATATAACCCTGTGCTTATCCCGACAAGTGCCCTCCTTAATGCCTATCACCCATTTAGTCCATCCCCCACCCACCTCCCCTCCAGCAGCCCTCAGTTTGTTCTCTGTAGTTAAAAGAGTCTCTTATGGTTTGCCTTCCTGTTTTTAACTTTCACCAAAGTGAGAATGATTTAACCAAACTTCAAAACAGGGGCACTATTTCTGCTGTGATCACACACTATGCGTCTGCTTCATTAGTAAATAACCTAAAAGAAACATTTGTAGAGATAAGAATAAGAATCCCCCTGAGTTCCCATGTCTCTGATGCCCGCAACCTTGTACATACTAAAACATAAGATAAAGTTTGTAATTTTCTGAAATGTCTTATGTCATGGTGAATTGTAACCCTTGATGTAAACAACATATATATAACCCTGCATCAAACATTCTCATTCTTTCTCCAGAGCACTCTCCTCTTCATGAGGACTATTTATCCAGAGCAGCTGTCCTCACTTGCGCTCACATAAAACTCTTTTCCTTTTTTTAAAAAACCATTTTTTATGTATTTATTTTGAGGGGGGAGGGGCAGAGAGAGAGAGACTCCCAAGCAGGCTCCGCACTGTCAGTACAGAGCCCAATGTGGGACTCGATCTCACAACTGTGAGATCATGAGCTGGCTCAGTCAGATGCTTAACCAACTGAGCGACCCAGGCACCCCTCTCCTTCTCTTCTCCTTCTCCTTCTCCTTCTCCTTCTCCTTCTCCTTCTCCTTCTCCTTCTCCTTCTCGAAACTAAAAGTTTTGTTCATTTTGCTTTAACACACACCACCTGGCCTCTCTCCCCTCCCCTCCAGGACACCTGGGGTAGATCATGTATTTACTGACATTGGGCTTTCTCAAAAGACAAGAAGAAAGGCTGTTTATCCAAGAATCCTGCAAATGTCCTCGAGGTAGGAACCAGGAACTACAAAGGGATGAGCTGCCTTCTACAAACAGAGCGGGGGCGGGGGTGGGGGGTGGGGGGAACACAGAAAGCATGAAACAAATGAATATCTCACTAAATATCCTGCCCCAGTGCTTTGCTCTCACCTACCACAAGACCACATCAGTGAACAGCTAAAAGCGTGTCATAATTTTAGTCTTCTTATCTACACTTAGATTCTATCTACTCAGGGAAGGGTGAGAGGAAGGAAGCACCACCCTGGACTCGGGCTCAGAAACGGAGAGGGCTCTAACACCAGCAACACCAGCAACATAACAGCAGCTGGCATTGTGCACCAGGTTGTTTCACACGTTTTAGCCTTTAATCCTCACAACGCCTTAGGCAGTCGTCGCTGTAGATCCAAAGTCCTTATTCAAAGCCTCTGGAGCAAGCCCCGGTTTCAGAATTCAGAGATTTTTGGATTTCAGAAAGATGATACAGTAATGTATTACAAAGTGTGTAATTTCTGCAACATAACTCCCCAAGAAGGTCTGAAGCAGGGCGCCTGGGTGGCTCAGTCGGTTAAGTGTACAACTCTTGATTTCAACTCAGGTGATGACCTCACAGTTTGTGAGTTCTAGCCCAGCATCTGGCTCTGCACTGGCAGCGTGGAGCTTGCTTGGGATTTTCCCTCTTCCTCTCTCTGCCCCTCCTCCCGTTGTGTTCTCTCTCTCTCTCTCTCTCTCTCTCTCTCTCTCTCTCTCTCTCAAAATTAAATAAACATGAAGAAGGAGGAGGAGAAGGAGGAGGGGGAGGAGGAGGAAGAGAAGGTGGTGTGAACGCGGATCTCCTGCAAACTGAAAGGCTTTTGCTCCTCAGAACTTTCTGGGTTTTACAGATAAAGAGAATGTGGCACAGCAAGATGAAGTAACTTGTCCAAGGTCACACAGCTAAGAAGTAGCAGGGGTGCTCAATGCTTCAAAGGCCCCTTTCTTCATTGCTGAGAAAACCACCTCGACCACTTTCTCTACCAGAAACTCAACTCTAACCTTCCTACTCCCCAGCCGAGGGCAGCCTGTGTACGACCTTCCTCCCGCACCTCCCCGCCCCCAAATTCTCGAATACTCCTTTCATCTCACCTTAATATGGTTTAAAATAGTAGAAAGAAACCCAAAGGCAGTGTGACTCACCCCAGGCACCCCTAACAGACGCAGGAGGGACACTCGGGAATTGCGTGTGGGGGCGGCTACTGACACGCTACCCCTCTGCCCAGTTCTGGAGGTTAACTCAAGGGTGATTGATGTCAAAGATCCGGCAGGCGGAGCCTGAGGAGCTGGCGGTCTAGAAAGTGAAACAGAATTCTTCCGAGATGCCAGGAGAGGGCGCGTCTGCCTTTTCCCGTTAGGATTAGGATTCCCCGCCCCCATTTCCTTCCAACCAGTAGGCAGTTTGGACTCACAACCACATGCTGCCGTATTCCTGCTGGCCAGCGTCAGCCTTTTCATTGCTACTTGCTCTTCCCCCGTATGCAGTCTTTTGTTTTGTTTTGTTTTGTTTTGTTTTGTTTTGTTTTGTTTTGTTTTGTTTT